CAGGAAAACTTCATAGCACAAAGTTGGGGAGTGTGAGCAGTCATGCCTAACTAAGAGCTGTGTCTAATCCTGCAAAGAAGACTAACGAGAAAGCATTTGCCTTGCTATTGTTAAAGCTCAATGTCGCCAGGGAGTACTGCTTGTATAGGAAGAAAGAAAAAAATAGGTTGGTTGGTACCTAAGACCAATGCTCAGCGATTTTCCCATCTGTCCCACCTGCTTAGGTTCACAGCCCTGAAGTTTTTGAAGCCATCTTGCATTGCACTTCTTGAAAATCCTGAAGGAAAGGTGGGAGCCAGGCCCATATCCCATCCCTGCAAGAGGACCATGCTCAGACCTAACCTACTTGTGGTTAGCAGATGCAGAAGCCTTGCTGCAATTGTATCTCCCACATTAGGAGGCTGAAGCCGGTTGTCCCTGCTGCCAGTGTTGCATCTGTCCATAGGCAAGTGCATCAGTTCTGGGATCCAGTCCTTCAGAGCACTCAAGTGACTGGGAGGTGCCTTCTTCAGTGGCTTGAATAGGGGCTTCCTACTAAGTAGCTCTCAGTGTTTGAAGGCAGGTGTGTGTCCCAAGTGGTTTGTGGATACCAAATTTGGTACCTTACCTCCTTGTGGCATCTTTGCCCTTGGATGTGTTATGCTAGTCCTGGAATGATGCTGAGACAGATGCATTTGAAAAGTCAGTGTGTTTCTGGGAATATGCTGCAGGATGTGACCTAGTTGTCCTGACTCTTGGTCACTTGTCACATCATCTGCAGTGATGATGTAAAGCTGTTTAGCTTCAGTCTTGTTTTCTGCCCTGACAAGCAACTTTTTTTCCCCCCTCCCTCCTGACTGATGCATCTTCCCAGAGAAACTTTCATCATTGCACGGGGTAGTCAAAAGAGGTGGGTGAGGTCTTAAAGTTGCTGGGAAAAGGCTAATATATGCCATCATGACATCTTTTGTTTACTCAGGCTCTTTATTACTCTGTTTTGCAGATAGTACTGGTGCCCTTCAGTGTGTGTCTGAGGGGACAAAATACCTGGAAGGTGAGGGGGCTTCTTGGTGTTAAATCTGTGTTTCATTATGAGTACAAAGTAGCCCATGTGTGGGTTGCTGCCATGGGCAGATTTGTTTCCAGGCAGTTGTCTGTCTGTCTTGCTGCAGGACTGCCTTGATTAAAGCTGCCTAAGCTGATTGTGAAACTGCAGCCTGGGAGTCTAGTTGTCTTAGAAGCCTAAGACATCTCTGGATAATGGCAGGAAAATGTTAAGAAGAATCTTAATGTTTCTGGACAGTTTTTGGTGGGGTGCTGTAGGGTCCCTGTGGTAAGGTTTCATCAGGAAGATGCTCAGTGCTCATTCTCTATCCACTCTAGGAAAAGCAGGTATTTTACTATAATAAACCTTATAAAGCATATTTCAAGGTGTTTGTGAGAGAAGCATGGAGTTATCTGTTGTTTTTTCTTGTTTTGCTATTCTGAGCAATATGATGACTCGTTCATCTGTTCCCTTTATCCCCTTGAGATGTGGCTGTGTCAGTACCTAAAGGCTGAAATCAGAATTAGGACCCAATTAGCTGTGGTCCCATGAAATAATGTGTAAAATACAGTGACGTTCATAAGGTTACATGAACCCACATGCTGTCTGGATGAGACCTTCCAGAGAGGTCGGCTGTGGTGTGGCCCCAAATTCAGTGATGGCAGGCTATCCTTGTGTCATTGTGTATATAGGGGGTATGAAGTGGTTTTGTGAGCCATCTTGCTGATATCCAAAGCAAAAAGGTTCCTTACTCCTTGTTCTCCTCCTCTTCTTCCTCCGGTGGAGGACTTTGCTGCTCTTATCTGGCTTGCTGGAGGAAACCTCATCCAGTCTTGCTTTGACCCGGTGAATGCTGAGGTTCTGGCTCTGTGCGGGGGGGACAACTTGAGGGTCTGTGGAGAGAAGAGAGGAAGATTTAATTGAGTTTTTATGGCTGTGTTTCAACTGCTTAGCAAGAGAAGGCTTGAAATTAATGACAGGCATGTTTTCCAAAGCTCCGCTGCATGTGTGTTTAGGTAAAATAAACACTGCTAAATAAGCTGTGCCACCACTTTGGGCATTAATAAGCCCCCTGTCTGATACCAGAAGAATACAAATAAATACTGCTTTTGACTGTTGTAATTGATAGACTTGCTGGGCCTTTGAGCAAGCAATTACCTCTCGAAATGCACTTCTGCAGGAGCTAAAACATGAAGTGATGCTAGTTTGGAAAAAAAAAAAAAAAACACAACAAAACCAAACCACCTGTGGGGTGTCCCAGAGGCCGGTGATTGACTTCAGCTTTTATTAATTCATCTGCAGTGCATTTGCTGGAGCTTTTAGGGTTTAATTGAGGTTAAGAGGTTAGAATCAGTGGTAAACAAAAGAATGGCATATGGGCAGTCTGAAATTGTGTATGTTTAAGTAAGAGCATTCCTTCTGGCCAATTGTTTTCATTGGGCAGTTTCTCTTGACTCACAACTTTTTTTTTTTTTTTTAAAGGTGTAAACACACAATAATAGCAAGTTAATGATTCATTGTGTTTTATCACACTCTAACATACCTCTAGGAAGAGGTTGAGCTGAGTTTGTGTTTGTCCTCCCCCTTCAGATTAAAGACATTTCTTTTTTAACCTCTTACCTGTTATGGCAGGGTCCACAAGCTCATTTGTTTTAAAACAAAAGAAGAAAAACACCTTCTCTCTTGCTTTTCTCACTTCCCTGTTCTGAGGGTCCACAGCTGGCCTCTTGAAAATTGAAGTGGACAAAGCAGGTATGAGACGAGAGAACAAGTTTTCCAGAAGCTTTGTTTTATAGAGGTTATGGGGAAGTGGGATTCAGTTTCTTCAGTTGTCCCCGGGTAACTGTGTGCATATGTTTTCCATGGTCACTGTTGTGGTCCTGTTTTCAGTTCTGGTATGAGCCCCATGAGTGTCTGGCCGTGATTTCCCCTTGCAAGTGGGAATGTGTACTGGCCAGTGCAGCAGTTTGACAAATAAGGTAAACCTCCTTATGTTGAAAAGCTTGAGTTCATTTTCTGAGGTCTTTATGCTGTTGATAAAGTTTATGGCATGTATGACATCAGTTGGCAATAATAATGATGACTGGTTGCCCTCAAGTTATTCTGTAGACATCTGTACTTTATATACAACCATTAATAATGCGTAGTCCAGAGCCTAAGAGAGCATACCAGTATAATTATATCAATAAGAGAAGATCAATCAGAGTTTTTCTCTTAATATTTCATTTAATAACAGCTGTCACCTGTCCCAGAAAGTCAAATGTATTTTTGTCACTTGCTTATAATTTAGAGAAATCTTTTTAAAACTCCTAGTTCTTGTTTAACTAAATACCAGTTTTGAAAAAAGTAATAATTATAACCTTTAATAATCCCCTCTTCTGCAATTTTTTTGTGTACTTCTGTCTCATAAGGAATGCTCTACATAAATTGAATCAAAAATTGCTGTACTAAGAAGCATTATATATGCTGGCTCAGGGAAGGAGGTGCATGGAACAGCTTCTATACTTGTGAAAGGACACTTGTAGATCTTTCCTGTATTTGATTTTAAAAAAAAAGAAGGCTTGAGCATGAAGTTGAAGGGAAAGGGATAAAACCAAGTTCTGTTTTCTGTACTGTACTTTGTTTACCCATGACAGTTTGCTTTCCCCACCTCCCATACAAGAATTTGCTTCTGCCGTGTTTTCCTTCTGAACCAGGACAAACATGATTTTAAATACAAAATGATTTTAAAACTTATGTGTAATGCGTACGTGCATGTACATGTATGTGTATGTATGTTGTGTGTTAGCATAATATTACCTGCTTCCTTGCTGCTTATGATCCCTCATCTTTGAATCCATTGTGGAGAGTGGAGGAAAAGCCCATGCCTCCCTTCACAGCCTGTCCCCTGACGGTGGGCTGTGCTGTGGGTTGTGGGAGAGGGTGGCACTGCCAGTGAGTTTGGCTGCCCTTTCCGGGGTCAGTGCCTGTCCCTGGATGCAGGGGGATTTGTGGGCAGATGTCAGCCAGCAGCACCTCTGCTGTGGTGGTGATAAGTGTCCAGGTATTGAAAGGGAATCATGCTGGGGTGGCTTTGTTCAAGGTGGTTGGGGTTTGACTTGCATCAAATCTTGCACAGCAATGGAGTGGGCTCCATGGTTGATATCTTGCTGGCTCAGGTCTCTGCTGCCATTCATACCTAACCCACTCTCGAGGAGCCTCTCCCTTTCCCGATGAATTTGTCAGGTACCACAGGATACTTCCTCAAGTGGAATGCTGGAGAGCATATGAGAGGAGAGGACTGTACATAAAATGTCACAAATTGCTGAGAAGACTGTGTCGAACCTAGCTGTAAGGAGAAGATGACGTTGGCTACGTACTTAGGGCTGCTAACAGAACTTCCATCTCTTATTTCTGTTAGTATCTTCATTTCAGCTCTAAGATACTCAGTGCAGTCTGGGCTCAGCCCTCAAGAGGAGGTTGGTAGTGCTTATCTCACAGAAAGTGTTTAACAGTGACTCAGCCTTAGGAGTTTCTGTTCTACCTCCTCTTCTGAGTTGAGGTATAGAGGATTTGAGACAGTGGTTTCCCAGGGACTAGGGATGGAGTGATGGGGAAGACAGATCAGATGAAGTCTTCTGCACTGATGCATGCCTGCTGATAGCCCATTGAAATCTCTGCTTTGGCTGAGAGTGAGGTACCTGGTCAAAGAACATGATGCTCCCCCATGTCATGGGTGTTTTCAGGAAGCAGTCACCTGCCTTATCATTTTCATGCGTCTGGAAACCTTGAGTCTGGTTTGTTATTCCAGAGAGACCTCATTGCTTTATGGCACTCTCCTGGGACTTTCAAGCTATTTAAAGGTTGATGCTGCCTGGTCTGTGCTATGATGCTGGTGGAAATGTGGGCTGGCCCTGGAAAATGGATGACTGTTGTTTTGTTTGTTTGTTTTTAAACAGCAAGAAGAAAAACATCCCATCACATGCATGCTGTGAGCTGCTTCCAGTGCCGACAGAAGCACGGCACTGATGCTCTCGCCTTTTCAACAGGTGCATGGGATGAAGGGAGCCTGAGACCCATCTGGAGAGGAGACCCTGGTCCCTGTGGAGTTGCCCACCATGAGCAGGGCATTGCTGACAGGCAGGATGCAGCCAGAGATCCGGAGTGTCTGCGTCTTCCTACCCACCCGTGAGCAGCTCAGCCTAGCCGTCGGGGTGAGTGGCCAGGAGGGAGACTGGGAGGTCACTGCATTGTGGCCACGGTTCAGTTTTGTTAGCTCCCATTGTTCTCCCAAAAGCTTGGTGCTGGTCTGCTGACCGAAAGGCTATTAGCCTGCTTAGGGTAATTGGTGCTCCATTTTCTAATTGGGCAGCTTCAACTTATTTGCAGAACTCCTTAAAAGTCACAACTGTGTTACAGGATGGGGGGTCCCCTCTGCTCTTTTTCTGTTGTTATTTACTTTTTATTATCTCTAAGTGTTTTTGCCACTCATAATACTCCAGCAGTTTTTGAAAAATTGAACCCGAAATGCCTTGATGACTTGGCAAGTGTGCCCAACACATGACTGTTTACTCTGGTATTTTAGCTATCACTGGTTTTGATAGCCCACAGATCCCTTCAAAGCCTCCAAGGCAGAGTAAACAGCCACTGAAGGTGGGCTTTTTTTACCTTCTTTGAGTACTGTGCACACAAAAAACTAGAGGTAAGTTTCTTCACTTCTTTGATTGCTGCTTGGAATGTCTCAGAGTGTGCACAAATGATAGCAGAGGTGGATCAGCTGGCAGCCCAGGGTGGCATGGTGCCTGCCACAGCACGGTGCCTCTTTGTGCACTGCCGGCTGCTCCTTGAACTTGTGAGAAACTGAGCTGACAAGAGGCACTTCACGTTCAGAGGACAAGGTAGCCTCAAAGATAAGTGCTCTCTTGTGAGCGTGTGCTTGCACTTGTGTGTGAGCTGGGGAGATTTTGCTTTGTTTTGGGTAGGTTTCCCCCCCCTCCCCCGAGATGAGGAGGGGGAGAAGACAGTTGAGGTGAACTGTTATTTTAAGCACTTGATTGAAACAGCAGCTTTTGAAATTATGCATGCCAATCTTCAAAATCCGTGTCGGAATTTTCCTACCTGCTGTGTGTAAGTGTAGCGTCCTTAACTGAAACAGCCTCAAGGGCTGGATGGAATAAAGCTTTAACAGCAAAATCTGGGACACTCTGCTTCTAGGTTACTGGTTCAAATCCAGCCCATCCACTGTCCCAGAAGGCTTTTGCAATCTGCTGGCTTTTGTGCAAGCCACAAAATGATGATTTAATTAAGTTCCTGGTGGCAGGTGCACAGGCCTGGGTAATGGTCTGTTGCAGCTGACCCTAAATCTCACTTTCTAACAGCTTTTATCAGGGAGGCTGAAGATGTGAGATAGTGGAGCTGTCTTGCTGTGGGGAAGCTGCAGACTGGCATGCAGGAGGGCAGTGTGCCAGCAGGGCTGATATTGTCACTGCTTCTCTCTGTGCCTGTGCCCAGATTGAGCATGCAGCTGTTCCTTCACCACTGGCTTGTGCTCTGGTAAACCCCAAATACCTGCAGTTTATCATCAAATCAATTTGGAGTGAGAAAGGCCCTTAAGATCGAGTCTGACCATAAACATGGCACTGCGAAGTCCACCACTAAACCAGGTCCCTAAATGCTACATCTGCATGTCTTTTTTAATACCCCCAGGTTATTTAATAAGCATAAGAAATGGTGTGTTGCATTGAGTGCCTGCCCCTACAAAGAGCTAGAGCACGTTGAGCATCACCATTTTGTCCCACAGAGGCATCCCTGCCACAGCACTCCTTTGTATTCCTTTTTAAAGACATGCACCATCATGGTACCCTTTTCTTTTGTGGCTGGGAAGTTGGGAAAGTGTGTACTTGGAGATGCCTGCATGTGAGAGGGAGTAGCTGCCTGGGCCAAAACATGATACCTCAACACACAGTTGTGTCCTAATTGCATAGAGAGTGAAACATGACCTGTTACAGCTGGGCAAGTCACCAAAAACAGCTTTTCATTTGGCTTCTGACTTTACCACAACACCCCTTCAAAACAACAACAAAAATTAAGATTTCACAGCTGGAGAGATCTTTCTTTTTTAAAGAAACATCAAAGCAATTTTCTAGTGATGTTGGTAGAACCCAAATTTAATTAGCACAACCACAGATGATACTTTGTGCATTTATTGGAATAATAATGACACTACTAAAGATTTCCAAAGCCTTTTAACCTCTTCAGAGTGGAATGCAAATACTAAACAAGCTTGCAGCTCAGTGAGGTAGGTAGGAATGGTTATCCTTCCAGCAGAATAAATTATAGATCCTTCCCCTGATAAGCACAGTGTTTATGCAGGTAATTCCTCTCTCCCATCTGCCATATAAATTCCACCCTTCCAGATAAGAGTTTACCTATGTGTTTTATGTGGTCACATACAGACTGAAGCCTGCTCTTTAAAATGAATTTGTCTTACACCCTTCAGAGATAGTGTTGTTGAAGAGAGAAGAGCAGGAGCCATTTTAAATTCTCTTCCTTCTAAATCAAGTATCTCTTAATTAACTTTGGCATCCACCTTTCTGAAAGCACAATGAATTTGAGGGGATGGTGAGGAGGGTTTTCCTGGGGCCAACTGTGAACATGAGGAGAGGCAGAGCAGTGCCTCTAGTGGGCACCCACTACTGAGTGCTGCAGCTGACCAGCTGCCCTGAGGATGACAAGGCAAAGTGAGAGATTTCTGCTTAGGAGAATAGACATCAGAGCACAGAGCAAAGCAGTCTGCCTTGTTCCAGGCAGCCCCAGTGGGGACATGACATGTGAGCACCAGGGAGCTTGAGCAGGCTGTGAGTGAGAATGGTGCAACCAAAAGTCGTATGAGTTGTACCAAAGATCTTGTACTGGTATCCAATTTGTTCAGTTTTGTTTGTCTTGACAGCACTGTGGCTTATCTCATCGACACTTTTGAACCTGTTGGTCAATATCAACTAGTTTTTATGATCAATATTGAGTAGATTCCTTAAAATTTTTTGGGATGGTAGCAGCTGAAGGAAGGAGAGATGTATGCTAGCAAAGGTTCAGCTGCCAGTGAGGGGAGCAGGGCAGGCAACCACTCCACTTGTGTTTGGGTAGTTCAGGAGCAGCCACAGCAGACGCTGTACCTTGCCTAGCTGACAGAGTAACGGTGGGAGCATGAACAAATTTTTGGAGGGGAGGAAGTCTGGTGAGGTCCTGTATGTTGGTAAATGGCAAGCATAGCTCTGAAGTCTTTCAGTGGTTCTGTGAGCAGAAGAGCTGATGTTTCAAAGCATATGGACCAAGAATAGAGATAGATAACTAATGCATATGAGTGTACACAGAAGGACCTTGGAGTAGCAGTTGCCTTCTGTAAACTTGCACTTGACTTCACTTTGGACTAAATTTCATGTGAAAAGAAACCCTGAGTTTGACATGGGGCAAAGCTGAGTATCAGTGGAAGGAATGATTCATGGCATTTCTGGGATGGAGGCTGGCACAGGAATCCCATGCAAATTAGGAAAGTCCAAAGAGAAGCGTCCAGATGAAAAATGCAAAGGGAAATATTAGTTGCTTTGAGCAGAGGGAAAAGCAGGAGGAGGGAACAACAATTTCAAATGTAATTGGTATTGCATAGCCTTGAAGGCTGGGAGTAAAACTTGATACAGAAAGCAAGTGCTAAGAGGAGAACGGACAAGGTGGTAGTCACATACCTGTTGTTCAAGAAATCTGCTTAAATCACTGTTTAGAGCTGAATGTCACAAAACGTTGAAGTGCTTATTCCCTAGAACTAAGTATCATAAAGCAGGTTTTTCTTTCCTTAAGTGTGAAAGCATACCACTTAGAAAATTCATCTCATCATATAGCATTTAGAGAGACAGTCCTGTGCTGCCAGTGACTCTTGTATGCCCATTAAGTATTCTGGCTAGAGGTAGGTCTTTCTTAGCAAGTCCTTCCCAGGTTGAACAACGTGCTCAGAGCTTGCTTTCTTGGGAAAGGAGACTGATCTGTGCCTAACTTTCCCTTCCAAATGTGTGTACTTGGCAGCTGAGCAAATACTGCATTTAGGAGTGAGACTGTAAGGGTACAGTCTCATGTGGAGAGTTGTGATAAGACCCAGATGTGGTTTTGGGTCTTATTGGAACTGTGCCCTACCTCCTCCCTTCACAAAGCACACACGTGTTTGCATTGGTGTAGTGCAGGCTTCAAAGCTCCTGATGAAACAGTAGTGAGTGTCTGGCTAGTGATGCCTTGTCAAGTAGAAGAAAATGAGTACTTAAATGACCTCCTGTTTCCCATTGTCCTTGTCTAGTGACATGGTACATCCTGGGGCAGGGAGGGGAGTGCAAGCCAGTTTCTTCGGAGTGTGGCACACCTACCCTAAAAGAGTTTGAAGAATTAGGATGGTATTTGGTTTGCAGGAGAGTTAAGCAGTCAACTTCTGCCCTGTCATCTTTGTTTCTCTGAAGGTAGCCCTGCACAATACCCCTCAGGATGGCTGCTCTGCTGCTGCTGATCAGCATGATCGAACAGTGGATAATGAAATTGAGGGCCCAGCCCATTTTGCAACTGGCTGCACAGTGGCCTTAGCTGAGGTTGTCTGTCAGTGTTGCTCAGACCTCCTTCCCCTAGGCCTCTGTGGGTTGGGGGGTTTTTGTTTGTGCCTCTGGTTTGTCAGTGCTTCTGGGTTGATGCAGTGGGGCAGGGAGAAATGAGGCTATAGATGAGGGGATGTTTAGTGGGGGAACCTTCCAATCATAGTACATATCCAGGTCTGCACATGCAGTTAGCCAGAATCTCACTCTTTCTGGGGGAACCTGTGCTCCAAGCAGCCCAGCTAGCAGATTTACTCAGGAGCCATGCTGCAGTGCCATGATGCTCCCATGGCCTGTGCCATGGTTACAAGTACTGCCCAGCCTCTGGTCCCCTGCAGGAGCATGTGCTGGCAACTCTGTTTTCCCAGCACTTCCTCAGTGCATGCACAGCATTATGGGAGGCAGGGGTATTGGAAAGTCTCAATGTGCATGGAAATGGGCAAGGGCTTAAAGGCTGTTTGTGACAGCAGCAGAAGATGAAGATGTTAATGACTGTGTAACCAGAAGTCAGCAGGAGACAGAACAAGCTCTTCTGTGTGGGTTACAGAGCAACCTCATCTCTAACCTACGAGCTATTTCATCTCAAACCACAGTATTGTGTTTCTTTGTGTACTTTTGTTTCTAGATCTGAATGAAAATTTTTAATGTTTTTTCTCTTAACCTCTCAAAACAAAATCTGCAAGAAAGCAGTATTTTCATTTCTGTAGTTATTACTGATTATTATTCTGTAATAATACTGAAAACAAAGCATGTTCTGTGGGGTGGTTGTATTTGGGTTTTTTGCTAGGGTACCCAAAAATGTATTGGCCAACGTAAAGAAGAGTTGCTCTATCCAGGTGCATGAGCCATCTGTAATGTTGGATTTGTTGTGTCTTTCAGGTCAAAGCCACTGGACAGGAGCTCTTTCAGCAAGTTTGTGATTTAGTGAAGATTAAAGAGCCTCACTTCTTTGGCCTCAGCATTGTTAAAAGTAAGCAAACTCAGTGCACGAGCAAGTGACTTGGCAAACATCCACAGACTCACTTGTGTATTTACAGTGTGTGCATATATACACAGCGGCCATGCCTGCAGGGGGAATTTGATTGTAATAAGGTCACAAAGTATGTAGATTATGCACAAGCTTCCCAGAGCTCTTTTGATCTTTGGTATGTGGGCAGACAAATTGGGAGAAGGGGGGGCTTTTGTTCTCCACCTTTGTTCTAAGGTTCCACCTCTTTAGGGGCTTTCTCTCCTGTAGCACGAGTTGCTAATCAACATATTTTTCACTATATATAATGCTGTAAGTATTGAACAAGAGGTGAATTTTAAAAAGGACTTTGAGACTGAAAGTGTTACTTGTCTTCTGAAGCCACACGTGAAGAATGTAGCACTGGGGAGGAAACTCAAATTATTTTAGGGGACTGAATGCACATGAGAATACCACATGAGAAATACAAAACTTTTTAGTCTGTAGGTTAAAGGCGAGTCTACTGGTCCTGCAGCTTAGTATTGCCCAGGAAATTGTGTTAAGATGATGCCTTAAAGAAGCAAACTGATATGAGAGATTACATTTCTAGGATGCTGTGAGCATTGGCCCCCCTCCAACTCTTAGTAATTAGAAATGGATCTGTTGTCCTGCTTAACCTGCCTCCCCACATTTTCAAAAGCACTGAAAGACTTTTCTCTCCTCCAAAAATTTTCTCAAGTATGTTATTTACTACTGTAATTCGAGATATTTCATTGAAATTAGAGTAGTCTTTTATGAATCCTTCTAAATAAGGTTTCTTTTGCCCCCTTACAAATATGTGGGATAAAATAGAGTCTTTTTAAGTTTAATTGTCTCATTTCCTTTTTGCTCTCATTCTCTTAAGAATTTTTACTTTTTTTTGAATATAGCAGTCAAATCGAGACCAACATAAGCTTTTTATCTCCATAAGGTTTGTAGAGTCTCCAAGAGATTCCATCAAAATAACTAAACGAGTAGCTAACAAATATACCTGTGTTTTTAAACCAATTCATTTTTTTTTAATGTGAGGAACACCTGAATGCTTTTAACTTTTTTCACAAACAACTATGTCTCTGAGTCCTCCCCTTTGCATCATTTTTTTAACACCAGTTTTTGCCTATTCCAGCTGGAGGACATCTTAGCTGAAATTGGAACTCCTGTCCTCCCCTGTAAGACAGGGCAATTTCATTCCTATTTTCTTTGAATTAGGTACTCTTCTCCGGTTCTTCCTGTATTTTTTTCACTTTTCCCTTCCCTTCACATGTTTTTTGCTTCATATTTTCTGTACTCTGCTTTTTCCTTCCCTCCCAACTGTCATGTGGTGAAACACAGGGGGTCTGACCCCAAAATACCCTATTATGGCAGATCTCTTTCAGTCTGTTGGAAATGCTGTGTAACCACCCCATCCCAAAGAGCATAATAAAGCTGTGTTGACTAGACCTTAAAGTATACTGTCCACAGCTTTAAATGGAAACTATCTTCTCACTACACAGAAGTAAAGGAAAAGAGTTGCAGGAGTCCATGAGGCTGAATTAACCTTTTTTTTTGGTTTTGCTTTCCTCGCTGTTCCTCATTCCTGCTTGCTGTAGCTCAGTTTGTAAAGCTGCTTAATTGAAGGCTTCTCATGCTTAGCCTGGATCCTCCTGACAACCATCTCCCTCTGCCACCCAGGCAGGTGCCAGAATTTTGGATACAAGATTTTGGTTTTATTTATGCCCCTGTTTAAGAAACTGTTGGGGCCAGATGACAGATGAGTGTCAGCAGTGAGTTTCTCAGCCTGAATGGGCATAGCCATCAGAAAGGCTGCAGCAAGCTCTTGAGAGAGGGAGCAAACCTGCTCAGTTTATTGCTTTCTCTGGTCCGCAACTTTAGTCTGTCAAAGTCCAATAAGTTGTAGCCTGGAGTCTGGTGGGGGGCGGAGTTTAAGGTTTCCTTTATTTTGTTTTTAAAATAGCTCTAGGTTTATTACTGTAGAGCTGTAGCTCTACAGAGGAAATACTTTTTCTGTTCTACAACTTGATTTCCTCCCCCCATCTTGTTTTGGCCTACAGACTGGCGATTATCTCCCTTGCTACTCATGGTGGCTGAGGTCTTGTTTCTATAGCAAAGGTAGCACTCTGAATCTGACATTTGGAAGTAGCCTTTAGGGCATTACCTGCTTTTCAGGGATTTTTGGCTTCATAACAAGCTATCACCTCAAGAAAGGGAAGCGCTCAGGTCAGGTTGTGGGGAGGCCTTGTGTAAGTTTTGCATTGCCCAGGGTTGTCTTGAGGTTACTTAAGTCAACTGCCTCGGCTGGGGAGCAAGTCAGTGTACATCCCACAGAGGCTATGAAGGGGAGGCATGGGGCTGGTCTGTGAGGAAAGGCTGGGTTAGATGTCCAAAAAATGGAGAGGAATCATCCACATTTAAGAACAAAGTATTCCTCTTCTGTATCATGCTTTCGCCTCTATGCTGCAGCTCTAAGACACCATTTTTTTAAAAAACAGCTACCCTGTTTTAATAATTATATATTTCCTGCTTTCTTAATGTGTATTTATTTTTGAGAATCTGATGCTGCCACATACAAAACTAGGTATTCTAATCCACCTGCATCCATTACTTTCCTGCTAATTTATCAACAAAACCCTGACTGTCAGCAGTAGCAAGAGAATGAAAATTAAAGGATTTCTACAGCACTGTAGCCAATCACACTGCACGGATTATCTGGATTAGGAGCCCATTTGACCTGCAGACGTACAGATACACTAATACTCACTTGGTCTCATAGTAAGTATGTGTGTGAGGGGGAGAGGTTGGGGTCCTTAATCATGAACAGAAGTTTAACCCGTAAGTGTGGCAAAAATGAAAACAGCACCACAAAGCACCATGCAAACTGCAAAGCATGAATGCTGTAAGATCTGAGTTCTAGGTCATGGAGCATGTTTTCCAGCATTCATTGCCTAAATTTGTTGCCTTCTCTTCTGACTGTTGCAGATGCTGAGGGAAGGTTCAGGATTAAAGGACGCAGTATTGGTGGCAGGACAGAATTTTTAGCCTCTTCTGCTCTTAAACTTTTATTCTCAAGAGAAAAACCACTTCAACCAAATATATTCGGTGGGAAAAAAACTTCTGTCTATAAGAAGCTAATCACTTTGAATATAAAGTTCAGGAGTGTACATTAATAAGAGGCCACACCAGCACAAACCCTGGGACATGTTGCTCTTCTAGTTTCATCACGGATTGTCAGGCAGGCTATACCTTGTGTGCTGCTGCTGCTGCTAAAGTGCATTTTTTCCTTGTAGTTTACTCAGTAAAAGACCCTGCCACCCTGCCAGGCTCAGTCTGGCTCCACAGGCATCAGCAACTGGGTCTTATGTGGCAAATCCTCCTGAGGGGTCAACCTTATCTAGTACCCTGTGGGAGGTTTCTCTCTTGTTATCGGAAGGTGTGTGCAGCGACACATTCAGTCTTCCAAAACAAAACTGATTGTCAGCAGACAGAGAACAGCCGGGCCTCCTTTGTGGTTATAACACAGATCCCTCGATCCTGAGTCTTAGGCTTTTCCTTTCTAGGAGCAAACTTTGCTTGACCCAAGCAGATGGAAACCTTCGACTGGGAAGGAGCAAGACTGCAGCTCCTATACCCTGCTGCTGTCTCTCCATGCCCTCTTACCGATTTGTCACGCTGGCTTTCTAACAAAACAAAATCCCTTTGCTTCAGCTCCCCTGCCTCGAGGATCATCCTTTGGTTATTACAGCTATGGCTGTTCACCTTGCTAGGCCCATGCTTCCCAGCACACACTTAGCAAGGAGCTCAGTGATTAACTCTGCCAAGACCACTCTGTCTCCAGTTAATTCTTCTGCATCTGTATATCCTCGAGAACCGAAGTTCATGGACAGAATATGCCACCATATAATCTTTATATTATGTGGATGTCTCTTACAACAAAGGGTCTCTTAAGAGACAGATGACAAAAGAAATTCTCCAAAATACCTTCTGATGATTTCTACACCCCAGTCCTTCCCCACTCTCCCTGCTTCTGCCTGTCCTTTTAAATCTGCTTGGATAGTTGCATCTCCTTTATGAATTTCGTCTGTATTCTAACCTAAGGTACAACTCTATTACGGTGACTTTGATACCTCAAATGAGATAAGTGCAAGATAAGAAAAACATGTACAGAAATGTACCACCTAGAGGGAATTGCGGGAGTTCAGTTGTTCAGAGAGTATATAGTACTTCTTTAAAGTACTTATGCAGTCTCTTTCTGTGAAGACATTTTTTTTGCCTGTACCTGCTGTAAATTGTTTCTCCTTCAGCATCAGTACAGCATCCAGCCAAGGGCTCTCCTGCCTGAGAACTGCAAGGAGTTTGCTCCTGGATGAGCAGTACTAGAAATGGTTCAGCAGCTCTTCTTGTGCGGAAGAATCACTCATGACACTGCCAAAGTCTGAAAATCTGTGCCTGGGCTTGCCTTGTTACTAACTGTAAGATGCCAACATAAAATTCCTGTGGTGCCTTTTCATTACCAGGAATGACTGAGCCTTTATCTCAGTCTATGTTCAGACCTCTGCAGTTCCTAGCAGCCGCAGCACCTCAGGCTTCTTGATATTGTTTCCTTTCATAATAACCTCCATGTGCCTTGTGTCCATCCCAGGTAAAGAGACCTCAACCAGGACCTCTCTTGCTTTACTCCCAGCCTCTGTTGAGATTCTTCCCTTCTTCACTTGTTTTACATGTATTTCCAACTAAAGCTAAACCCACAAGGTTATCCTGAGCCAAGTTCTTTTAGACCCCTTTGTAAACTAATCAGCCAGGTACTGGAGAGTAGACAATGTTTCTTTCTGTTGGCTTGAAAGGTAACACCAGGAGGATCGAGAAGTTGTGTAGAGGTGATGGGAGCGGATGCCATTTGGGTAGTGATGTTCTGAGACCACTAGCACTTGAAAGCCTGGGGAGCTCTACATGCAAAAGGAGTGTGTAGCCAGCTCTTCAATTAAAAAAAAAAAAAATCCATGCTGGTATTCAGGGAAGCTAAACAGGTTATGTGAGCTCTACAGTATGTGTTGTGAGGTATTTTTTTTGAGGTGGAGGGGGAGTGTTTAAGCTTTAGCTCTCCCCTAACCCCAGCATCCTTCTGTCCTGCTTCTGCTCCTTCATGTTGCGCCTCAAGGGACATAAAGGTGTTACTATGAGGCTTTTTGCAGCGTCTGGGAGAACTTAAGGATAATTTTTTCCCTTCTCTTTAAGGCAGAAAATGCATGCTATGTGGAAGTTTGGCTTTGCACTAAATTATATTTTATTTGAATCCTATTCTTTGGGAGTGTCTGGCTCTATTACTAAAATATAACCAAGTTAGTTAATGGGATGTTCCTGGCTGCCTACGGGGCCTAAGCGTTTCTCTTGGTAGAACACCTCTGTGGAATTTCTCAGTGCTTCTAGCCAAAATGGGCACAGGAGAACAGGTTTTTTGTTATTCACCATTACTTAGCTTTTATGCAGAGAACTAACCTTTCATAAAAAATGAGATGAGGAGGAACTGGTTAATGCAAAATAATGGCTTTTAGAGTAACAATGACTCAACTGATTTGACCCTATATTACAGCCTTCATTTTCATCATATTCCCATTTTTCCTGCAGTGTAAATAGTGCCTATTGTAAACGTACATCACTCACTGGAACTGTGTCACTTTTTTTTCTGACTGGAGACCTGGCCCATTATTTTCTTGCAACAACGCGCGTCCTACATTTTCTCAAATATGTAAATGTGCTAAGCTAATTTTGCAGAGTAGGAGTGGTGAATGTTTGCATTTCTGGTAACTCCTTAATTTGAAATGTGATTTTTACAGCATAAACTTTCAATTTCATTTGAGAGCTCTTAAAAGTTGAAATTGGGAGAAACGTTTAAATTGCATTACTGTTAACTAGCTGGCTGTCCAGAGGCATTTCTTGGGGTCCCAGTGCAGTGCACTGGTGTGTTGTGCCAGGTCTGGTATCTGTACACACATACATGAGGGAACCTTTTAAGAGAAGCTGAGGTATTTCATAAGGTCACTGACAGCGCTGAGACGAAATTCATAAACTCAGTGTCTGCAGATGGATGAGTATGTATTTGCATGTGTGCATGGTTCTAAGTACCTTTCATGTGTGCATGCTTTTAAGTACCTTTCAGTTGTCCTTCAGCTGAGGCCAGTGAAGCAATGGCAGTTTGCACCTGCTGAGTATCCAGCCCTGTTTGGATCGACAGATCAAACGTATTCTTCCCTGGAAAGATGGCCATCTGTGCATTTCTATACTGTCCTTTACAGCACTGCTCAGAGGTGCTGCAGTTTGGTGCCCTAATATCTGTTAGAGATACTTGTTTTCAAACCAGACACAGTTTTGGCATCTGTCAAAAGATCTCTTAAGTTTCATCACTAATCCAGTTTAAGGGGAAAAAAAACCCCAAAACAATCACAAACCAGTAGGGCTGCAGAGGGGAATACCTCTTTGGTTTTGTAGATGGAGGCTTACACTGCAGGTTGACATTCCAGCAATATTAACTTCATTAAGACAGGAATGCATTGCTGCATTCTTGGATGGGAGGGAGGATGCTGGACTGGGCTGGGGAGGAGTGGGACCCCCAGGGAGAGCTGATACATTGGGGTGTCCTCCTGCAGCCTGGCTTATTCTTGGGGTCTGTGGACACCTCTCAGTAAGCCTAATAATAACCTGGAGTCCTCAGGCTTGGCATCTGGGCCCTCACAGAGTGATCTCTCTAACCTGTGTAATGTGACAGATAAATAGGGCTGTGGGGTGTGGGTAACTTTGACAACAGATTACTTTATTACAGTGTAACTGTTCTGTCATACTTTTCCTTTCTGACCTTGTATTCAGCTGTGATGGGGTGGTTCAGGGTATGCCACTGCTCTTGCTATTGCTGTCTTTCCCTTCGGGCTGAGGAGTAATTCACCTGTTTCTCTAAACACCTCTGTGCATGGGATCATTCCTGAGTGAGAAAGGAAAACTGACCCCTCAACTTGCTACAGCTGTGCGGGTTCCCTACCCTCTTTACGAATGGTAGCTAAACACCACGGTGCTGGGAGAGCCGATACAGGCTTTACCTGGCAGTGCTGTGCCATCAGGAGCAGCGCTGGGCCTGATGTGGGAGACTGTAGTGGAGTAAGTGCCCTGCCCTGGGACTGCGAAAGCCCAGGGAGGGATGGGGTGCCATGCCTATGTTATCCCACTCCTGCCACTTGCTGTGCAATTGCTTCCTAAACGAGTTTAACTTACTTTTTAATAAAAGCTTTACAGAGAGATGCTTACCAGCTTGGCAGCTAAGGGACAGAGGCAAGTCTAACAGATGAACAAACCCTTCTCTTTCACTGACTAGGACTTTTACCAGCCTCTTCAAGGCACATTATCTGATCTTAATGGACTTAGAGAAGTAAGGGCTGGGGCTGGCATAGCCACCCTGCCGCCCTATCTTACAGGCATAAGTGAAGAGGCAGGTACAAGATGCAATGTCTGTGATGATAAAATTTCTTCCTTTCCTTTTCCAAATAGCCAAACAACTTTTATATCATCTTGTATGCTACAGCACTTAAATTCCCACCACCAACACTTTCAGAAACTCTATACAGTTTCAATAGTGCTGTTAAATACTGTGCTGTTTCTGTAACAGAAATGTAATTGTATTAAAATTATAGCTTCAATCAGTACAATGCAGGAAAGAGGATAAAAATGGAAAGAGGACTTTTGGGGATTGTCTTCTTCATGTCCAGTGTTACTGTATTTTACACAAGGTTTCCTATTAGGGTGGGATGCGGACCAGTTTGAGATAGTACCGGGCGTGGTTTCTTTCCTTTGAGGTGGGAGCTGAAGGGGTTGGCAATAGGGGGTTGGTTTGCTTGCTTGTTTTTTGAAAGCTAGCAAAGAACGTATTTGCTATATCTGCTCCTGTAATGCTTTGGGAGGATGGCTGCAAGGTAGCTCAGAGCCCCCTTCAACACCTGTTATGACACTGGCTGCTGCCAGTCCTGCATCTGCCATACAGGCACAAGTGCAGGCTCTCATTCAGTTGTAAATCTCCATTAGAAAATTTTGAAAATTTTTACCTCTAGTCTCATATTTTCTTTTTTTTTCTTTTTTTCTTTTTATTTTCTTTTTTTGTTTGACATCAGAAAGCAAAAACCAAAGTTTGGAAGTCCGAGCTGGTCTTCATGGGCAGATTGTTTTGTGAAGGGGTCTTCTTTCTTTTTTTTTTTTTTCCCCTGCACCTTTCATGTCTAAGGAACAAGCTCTTCATCTTGGCACTTATGTTACCTGTGAAAATGCTGTCCTGGGCAAGATCAAAGAGTAGAGGGACTTGTCAGGTGAATGTGCTCAGCTGGCATTGCTGCTGAAGCTTAAAACACCCATCAAGTCTTTTCTTTTTTTTTCTTTTTTTAAGAGACTTGAAGACCCGGGAAAAAATTGTTCACTGGCTGAGTTGTTTATATTTGATAATTGGGAAACAGTGTTACAAAATTTTAGCTTTGAAAGCAGCACAAAGCTTTTTCAAGATGATGTGCCATTCAGGCACACCATCTTGTTCACCCTCACTGTGGTGGAGAGCAAGCCCTGGTCCTTTGGTCTTTTGAGAGAAGCCAGGTTTCTCTTCCTTTTCTTCCTCTTTTTTCGGTATGAAAGAAGTTGGGTGTGAGCAGAAGAAACAAGACCTTCTGAGGAGGGCATTTCCCTTTGGTCCTCCTATTTCTCACTCTCTCAGAGGATCCAATTCACACATAGATGATGAAACCTGTCAAACCCCACTCTGTGCAATTACTTATGCCATGTTGGAGCATGATGCTACATGATGGCAGAATAGGAAGTTTGGGTAGGATTTGCTTGTTTAATAATAATAAAAAACTGAATCTGCTAAACTGACAGCACAAGTAGCTTACTAAGATGTTTCCCTTTTGTAAATGGTTTCTGGATTATAAAGTAAGAATTTTATATTTCTGGCCAAGATGTTTGGGAAACTTTAGCTCAGTATCTCTTGAATCAAGGCATGACTGACCTTCCTTCCATACTGTCTGGAGTAGTGTATATACTTAAGAATACTCTCTTTTTCCTGCCCTGTCTAGTCCCTGGTCAGCTATGTTTTAAAATGTCTTGTTTGGAAATAACTTGTAGAGTCATCTAAATATTTAATGAATAAAAATCTCTAATTATTTAACATGAAATCCCTTTCCTCCTATCTTTCAGATAATGAATATGTTTTTATAGACCTGGAGCAGAAGCTTAGCAAATACTTTTCAAAGGAGTGGAAGAAAGAGACCACCAAAGTAAGAAGGGTGTTTTATTTTGGAGGCTGCTGCTTTTTTATTGAACTTAACAGTGAAATGAAAACTCTTAAACTAAGGTCCATAAACCATCTTGAAGATGGTCTGCAGAATACTTTTCAGTAGCAATATGCAGTGACTTGTGCACAGCTGTAAAATTAATTAAAAGAGTTGAAACAGCCCCTTAAACAACTTTACCTGAGCAATAGTAACCACATGGTTGCGGCTTAGCTGCTACAGAAGTGGAGAAGGTCAGTGGGTCAGTTTTCCATTTGAACTTAGTCTAGAACTTAGTCTTGAGACCTCATTGTGATCCTTAAGCAAAACTGCCTAAAATGACTTTTTGTGACTTGAACTTGACAAAAGGGAGATGACTGGAGCTGTGACTCTTCCAGAGTACATGCAAAAGGACAGTGGAGGAAGAAGAAGGATATTTTGTTTGAGAAGAGTCCTAGTTCTTTAATGCTAGCCAGCCCTGTCAAGGGAGGGAAAAGCTACATGAAATAAAGACAAGCCTATGTAATTGTTTAACGCTGGTCATTAAGACATCATTAATGCCTGTTTGTGTATGTCATTATTAGAGGAGCCATAGTCTAGAACAAAGTATAACAAGCAATTGGATTCAGATATCTTAATTGGCTCATTATGACTTTTTCCATCTTCCATAAGAGTTTTCTTTTGCAGAGTAGGCACGCTTGCCATTTTTGCTGCTCAGAGAAATTTGTAGATGACTAGTGAGGTTGGAGATCTCTCTTTTCCCAAATGAGTGAGAATTACTTCAAAGACAACTGCAGTCATGCAGAGGCCCATCCTTTCAGCAGAGGCAGGTGTTTTTGGTCACCTCGGGATGGGGTATGCTTTGCGATTGCTTTGTGGTTGGATTCTTGCAACACTTTCCAAGTCAGGATAAGTGTTGAACCTCTGGTGTGATGTGAATCATAAAAGACTGAACGACTTGCCGTTGGCATTACTGCAGTCTGAGAGGAGTTAGCCTATCAGACTGGGTTAGTTGACAAGGAATTAATTCCTATGAAGAGGTTTCAGGTGGAAAGCTGAAAGTCCAGCTGATAAAATAGGGTGACAATAAAAAAGTTCGAGAAATAAAATGGAAATATTTGCATGATGATCAAGAAGCTGTCTGCATCAGATGTGCCGAGCATGCCACGTAACTTGTCCCAGTGAAATGGGTCCGACCAGCAAAACCTTGGATCTGCCTGTAGGAGCAAAGTTACGTGTGTGAGCAGTCAAATGGCAAAGTAGGAAAGATGAAAGAATGAGGTAGTAAGATGTTCCTTTTTTATTTTCCCCTTTTTCTTCTTTTTTTTTCCTCCTTTTTAAACAAGGCTGTAAGTCTGAAAGATAGGCTGTAGTTAAAACATCAGAACTCATGCTGGCTTTCTTCTAACAGACATCCCCAGAGTGAAGCAGACATCAGCATTGCCTTCTGGTCTGTGGCTGCAGGAACATGTGAATAACTAAACACAAGCCCTGCCAAACGAAAGGTTCAGAGTTGATATCAGGCTGGTGCCTCAGCCTCGGGCAGTAAATGCTGAACACGGCAGCACATGTGTCCTCGATAAGTGATGTGGTGCAGCACAGGGATGGCTGGTTACTCCTAGGTGTGCCCTGTAAACGCCACAGCCATGCCAGCATGGCATGCTGCCCTGCTGCCTTGCCTGGTGCTTTGAGGGAGGCCGATTTAGACTTGCTGTGTTCAGCACTAATGCGTCTGGTGCTGCCAGGTGCTGAGCTAGGTTACTCTGAGCCAGGCTGGGTGTCCCCAGGCTACACTGGGACTCATCCCTCCTATCCAAAAATCATCTTCTCTTCATAGGATATTTTGTGATTCAGCCTGTCTGAATGTTTTGTGATGCCTCGTTGTGAGCCTCCAAGACAGTCAAATTCCCCCCTAGAACTTGCCAAGAGCGAAGAGTTGAAAACAAAAAGCAGTGTGGGTAGTGAGCCTGGGAGAAGAGAACATTACCAGACAGGGGAACAGGAATTTTGGATGCTGTTCATAATTTAACTTGTCTTCTGTCTTTGCTCCAGGGAACAGAGAAATTCAGCCCTCCTTTCGTTGCGTTCTTTAGAGTACAATACTACGTAGAAAATGGAAGAGTAATAGGGTAAGTTCCCTTCTGCAGTAGCTACTGTGTTTTGAATTAGTCATTGTGTTCTTAAAAGGCAAGAAAAATAAAGTTTCTTTGTTAAGCTCATCTCTGTGAGCTCACAAAAATAACCTTAAAAAATCTGTTTAAGAATTTTTTTTTAAGACCTTCACAGACTTCCTCACCCAGCTATGAGTGTTTTCTGCCTGAAGCATACTCCATATCCCTAGGAAAATTGTGATTGCATTTCCATCTTTGTTTAGAGAGCAGGTTGAATGACGACATTATCAAAACACGATTAGAACTCTTTTGCTTGTGTCTTTTGGTTGTATGAAAAGCATCAGATGGATATACCAAAAATAGTTACTTATACTCTAAAGCACTTGCTAACAATTTTGGATCTGCTTTTTGCATCTGAGCAGTTCTCTGTTCAGTCTGCTCCTGGAAATGGACCTTTGTAAATGGACAAAAGAAATTACTTCATAAGTTAGAGAGTTTTGCATTTGGAGTCCATTCACATGGAATATGGGCTGCACTCAAAACAGCACCACCGTCACCCACAGTACAGAACAAAGGATGAGGTAGTTAAAAATGAACAACTGACAGAGTTAATTTGCATCAGCACTTCTGGTGTGGTTCTGACCCTGGGGCAAGCCAAGAGTTGGGATCATTTAGGTGGATTAAAATCTTTACCAAATTTTTGGCATTTGTTCTCATCTTGAACAAAGCTTGCGGTTTTCTATGTTTTCTCTCTCCATAGTCTTTCTTTCTTGGATACAGGGGAGTCTTTCTTCTGGACTCTGTTTGGCTGATAAGTGCTTCTCATTTCATTTTGCTCTTATGTATAAAGGGAGATTACATATTATTCTGCCGCTCCTGATGTACGTGTCCTTCAGCATGACAAGCAACTTTCTCTTGCACTAGTAGTTTAATTGGAGAGGTGTGTGGAGCCGTGCAGAGGTAGTTACCTGGCCCCTTCAAACTATGCACACACACTTTTACAAGCAGTCTGTAGTGCCCAGCACCTCACCTATATGTACATGTCAGCAGCCTGCTTTCCATGAGCTCTAAGAGCAGGGGATGTGTGGGTTATCAATGCTGCACTACAGTTATTATGCCTTATCAGACCATCCCGATTTAGCAGTTTGAGGAAGAAGACAAAAATAAACCCAAGGCTCCTGTACCTTCTGATCTACCTTGCAGGGAATTAGCTGCTGAAAAGTATCTTGAGCCTAAGGCAAGGTGAAATAATAAAGCAGTGCCAAGTTTAGAGGGGAAAGGAGGACAGGTGTGCAAGCAACAGGACTGGGAATTCAAGGGAGTTGACTCTCCTGGCTCCTACAGGCTTTTCAGAGAAACAGAAGTGCTTGATTGTAGTCAGTCTCCAAAACAGGTGTGGCGTGATTTTTCTTTCATCTACCTTCTGCACTAACTTCTTAGATCTCATGCTTCTCAAGGTAGAAGCTACCATTTCCCATGTTTGTACAACAGTTAGTGGGAGAAGACCTTGATCTTGGTTTGGTGCTCCCTACATACACATAACTGGTATCAGGGTGGCATTGGCACACACCAGACATGTCGAAGTTTAATCCCTCTTCTCAGTAGGATGATGTTTTTGAGGGAACTTATCTGACCTTTCTTCTTCAGGTAAATTTGCCTTTGTGTTTTGCAGCGATAAGGTGGCTCGGCAGCTCTACTACTACCATCTCAAAGAGCAAGTACTTATGTCTCATTGCAATCACAAAGAAGAAATCTACTTCTTGCTGGCTGCCTACAGCTTACAGGCAGACTTGGGCAACTACAGAGAGAAGGTCCATGCTGGCAAATATTTTGAACCTCAGGCTTATTTCCCACAATGGGTAAGTTTGGGGGGAATATTTCTGTCAACAGATTGTACACACATCAGGAGCTGTGTCAGGGTAGTACCTAATGCAGCCATGCAACTTCCCCAACTCCCACTGCAATGATCAGGCACAGGGGTAGAGTATCATCCTGAGTTTCCCTCAGGAGGTATCTCCTGTCTGTCCACTGGAGGTAAGTGCCTGTTCTTCCTGGACTCATTCATCAGTGAGGCGGGTGCTACATCCTTCCTTGGTGAGGGAATGTACTGGTGTTACATGAATAACTCTGACAGTGCAGCTGTCTTTGATTAATTCTTCTATGGCTTAAAGGGTTATGTGTTTGTAGTGGTACATCAGCAAGATCTGCACAACCTAAGCTCTCCAGAAAACCTCCGGCCCTGGAAGCCAAGTCCATTGTCCTTTGTTCCCATCTCTGTAATACTCGCCTCAGGGATGAATAAATCCAAACCCTAAGGGGTAGTACTGCTGTGCAGTGCCTCTTGTGCTTGCTTTGTCATTAATCTCTGGCTCAACTGCAGTAAGAGGAAAGGGAAAGGCCTGGAAACGGGTTTGCATGTTTGTTTATAAGCATGTGCACATGACTTGTGCCCTTCAAGCCAAGAGCTGATTTAGTTGTCAAATGAAGGCAAACTAGCTAAGGCTCTATTAGTGCAAGCTGCATCTCCCCTGAAAGACGACACTGTCACCTGCTTTGGGAAGAAGGTTTAGAACAGTGACAGGGATTGTCTTGGGGAAGCAAGGCTGATAGTCTCCTTTATGCACAAATCCTGGCTTGCCTACCTTGCTGTGTAGAAATGCCCCTTTGTCCTAGACAACAGGCCCTCATCCCATGCCATTCTTTGTTAATGGTCGCCTGTCAGGAGGTAGCTAATGAAGTGCTGGAAAAGGTGGGTCTCTTGTGTGCTGTTTCTGAGGCAGTTAAAGGGCTTATCACAGACTGTTGCTCATTTGGCAAACACTGCAAAGGCCTGGGCAAAGCCTGGCTCACCTGTGCTGAGCCACAACCCCAAGCGAGTACGTGGGTGATTTATTACATCATTATAAACACTGAGATCTGGCAGGCGTGGGGACGCTTCTCTCCCTGCCTCTGGGCTCCCATGGGGAGATAGTGAGAGATCTCCTCCTCCAACGCAATCTCTTCCTCCAACACGTGCTTCATATCATTTGGCCAAGGGCTGCCCCAAGTCTCGTGCAAGTGAGGAGAGGCAGTGCTGCCCTGGGCTGACCCACCCAGCTTTGAACTGTGGAGCTGGCACGTCTCTTTCTGCTGACGTTTACAGCTGATGGCAATGCTGCCATCGGGGCCAGCCTTCCTCGTGGGAGGGCAACTAATCTGTCAAGGCATGCAGAGGAGGGCAAAGGTGTTACTGAACAGAGTAAACAAGGGTTTTAATATAAAATGGAAGTGGGAACTGGGTGGTGATGAAGTCTGGTTGTTTTGAGCCAGGACAGGTTGTTTCTAGCAGGATATTCTCAGGTACCTGGTGCAATCTAGTTTTAAATGTCCCCAGTGGTCAGGTATGTTGTGAATTATCCATCACTGCTGCTTACAGCCTGAAAGGGGCCAGTCAGGCATGGGAGGGGTCAGGGCCACCCTGTAGGCTTGCATGGAGAGAGCATGTGTGCAAGCAGGGGAACTGGGCACCCACAGGAGCAAAAGGCCCAGTGCAGATTTTTGTATTGCCTAGTAGAGCCACGTGGCTGCCAACCACTCCCAACAGATAACACTATCTCAAGGTATTTTTTTTTTAATCTATCCCGTTGAGAATGGAAATGCTAAATAAGCCTAATGTGTAGTTTCAGGTCTTAAAAGGAAAACCTAGTATTTCTGCCCTGTTTGGAGATGTTGCTGCTGATTGTGTTGGCATGCAGAGCAGTATTTGTTATCTGCCCATAAACATTTATGGATGCCAAGAGTTAGGAAAACTAATTCCAATACTTGAAAGTGAGAAGAGCTGACCTGACCTCTGTGGGCTTCGTCTGTTACAATTTTGCCATCTAGGATCTGTTTGGAGACTTCGGTGTCATCTGGACTGGTTTAAATGCTTATCCTCCAGGGAGGTAGAAGTGAACATGGGCTAACATCTTGAGGGAATATATGAGCCTCCTCCACCTCCAGTCTCTGCTTTGCTGTTGATCACAACTGCCTCCCATGTGGATCGCTGAAGAGTTGCTGACCTGTTTGTTTTCTTTCTGGTTTAGATAATTGCGAAGAGGGGGAGTGACTACATCTTGAAACATGCCCCAGAGATGCACCGAGAACAGCAAGGGCTGAGCACTAAGGAAGCAGTTCTGAAGTTCATTAAGGAGTCTTGCCTACTGGAAGATGTGCCAGTCCACTTCTACAGGCTGCAGAAGGTTAAACAAAGAGCTTCTTATTTTGAACTTCTCTCGCATCATTAATTGAGTACACCATTGCATTTTTCTCTTTCTGTTTTTTTGAGGGATGGTTGCCTCTGATTCAGAGAGGCCAAACAAATCTAAAATGCTCAGCCAATGAGGCCTGTCCCCACAAACAAATCCGTTGCCAATATACAGATATAGCTGGAATTTAGTTTTGTTTCTTGGCCAAGAAACTGGCCACAGGAATGGCAAAACTTAATTTTTGTCCATGCCTGTTGGTAGAATTGCACCAGGAAAATCAGAGAAGCCTTTTTTTTTCTTGTTGAAGTTCATTGAAATAATGACAAGAGGTCAGCCAGCTTTCACACAAATGTCATGTAATAACTGAAGGTGACACTGAGTCATTCCGACTTCCTTATCCCCTTCCTTCTCCAACCGTGTCAGACTAGTTGGTGTTTTTTCACTTATATGTCAGTTTTGGATTCCCGGATTTTTCCTTGTGCCTAGTATTAGGCAATGTAATGTCACAAGGCTTGCATCTTGCAAGACAGATAAGGAGAAATGGTTGTGATGCAAAGTTTGAGCTCTGTGAGCCCATAAATTTTTACCCTAAATTTTTCTTCCTCCTCTCCTCCTAACAAAAACATGTCTTCCTTTCCCTAACTTTGCTGTGCTAGGAGAGGCTGAAAGAATTAGTTAATGATATTTTTTTTGGTCTTCAAGCAGAGGAATCTTATCAGAGACAAAGTATGTCATAGCAAGATACAGCATGAGCTAAAAGCAAGGCAGAATTCCAGCCCAGATGCAAACATGTAAAACCAGCTGCTCTCAAAACCCAGATCAAAAGGCTAGAAGGAAAGTCCCATAACTCTGAGTATTGATTAGCCCCCCCACACCCAGCCAACGGACACCTAAGATCTACGAAGTTCCTAGATGGGAACAGCAGTGCCATGGCAAGGAGAGGGGGATGGGTGTCCCTTTGTTTTGGGCTCTCTGTTACCTGGAGAGTGAGAATGGTGCATGTTTGTGGGGATAGCAGAGGCAGCACATGGCAGTATAAGAGGTTACAAGGTACCTCTGAGAGCAGTAATTGTCCATGCCCTCAAATCAGGGATTCCCTGTCCAGGGCAGCTAGGACATGGGCTGGTGAAATGCCTGAGTCTCCCAGCACAAGAGGATTTTAGGTATAGATATTTCAGGGGTCAACAAGGCAAGGTGCTCTTTACAAACATAATAAAAACCAAATGAGCTGATGGCATCTGCCTGATGAGGAGTCTTGCCACCTCTCCTGCAGTAGGTGCCAGAACAGGGGCATGGTCTTTGTAGATTAACCTTTGACTCCAGGCTCTTCTATTCTTTTAGGATAAGAAGGAGGATCGACCAACAGTTATCCTGGGCCTGACCCTGAGAGGAATGCACATCTATCAGGTAACAGACTGCTGTGAAAGCCTTCTGGTGTAGCATTAACTGCCCAGTTCTCTGTCCTCCCCCCTCACTGTGGCTCCTCTGCCTCCCCTGTGAACACCAGGCTCCACATATCTCAAATTCTTGGTTGTTTGCAAATTCTTTGCACATCGCTGACTCCACCCTGTACCTGCCAGTCCCTGTGTCACTCTGAGTTTGATGTGTTGCAGGAGGTGAATCACGTTCGCCAGCTCCTCTATGACTTTCCCTGGTCGCACATTGGGAAGCTGGCCTTTCTGGTGAGTATGACGGAATGGAGGCCATCTGGCAGTGGCTGTCAACCTGGGATGTGGCAAAGCTGTCAGCCTGCCTGCACTGCCATGTCAAATCCTGTCACTTGCATGCACAAAACCACAGCTATCTCTGGTAGCTGTGTGGCTGGAAACATGCTTTTGCTCATTTCTCTGGCATCTCTCCTCTATATGCAGGGGAAAAAATTTGAGATCCAACCAGATGGCTTGCCCTCTGCAAGGAAACTGGTTTACTACACAGGCTGCCCCTTCAGGTCACGGCATTTGCTGCAGCTGCTCAGCAACAGTCACCGGCTCTTTCTGAATATTCAGCCAGTGTTGAAGCAAATCCAAAAACTGGAGGAGGCTGAAGGTATGTTAAGGAACAGCCAGGTGACTTTGGTAAGAGGAAGAGCATATTAGGCTCTGCTGTTGCTTCACAGTGGCTGCTCTGTATCTAATTAATGGTGTTTCTGACTTATCAGGGACCCAGTGAGAGAAACGGAGGTGTTAGATATGTTTCAAGTCTGTTCCTGAGAAATGTTTATGGCTCCCACGTTGTAGACTGTGATCACAAAGCATGAGTGTGTGAGAGTAGTAGAGGGGGAATATCTCCTTTTAACTCTCTGTGTTTCCAATTTGTGGATATGATGCATGCTTCTGAGTGGAAATAATTTTAAATAAAAAGCTTTCCATTGGAATGAAATCATCTTGTGTTCAAGCAGAAGCCTGTGTCTTAATTTTTTTAGAGCCCTTTACTAAACACTGCACACAATTTAGTCTGTAGTGTCATCCAGTTAAAAGTTAGGAGTTGCAGGTGCCAGAAACAGCCTGAGAGCAGATCAGGGTTCCCAGAATTTGTCTTTTCTGATGGGGTCCCTGTAGGGTAAGTGTAGGAATGGTGATTTGACACGAAAGAATACTCCCTAGTATCCTTGCAGACAAACTTCATTCACCTCATCACCTCCCAGCTCACCCCCTTTCATTTTCCAGCTCTGCAAGCTGGCTTTCCTACAACTTCTCAGCCTACCTCTCTCTTCCTGGTGGCTGTTTTAAATGCATTACATAGCCCTTCTTTCATACGATTGTGTCCTCTTCCCTCTACCCTTCACCTGAATGCTTTTTTCTCCTATTTCTTTCCTGACTGCTGTTCCTGGTATTGTCCACTGATACTTTGTCTTCTCTGAATTGTAAACCTTGTATTGTTGCCTTCAAGGTCAGTAGCAGTCAAAGAGTAGCTGGTCCTCTTGTCCAAGGACATAGGCTGACTCCTTCCAGGTAGATCTCGGGAAGAAACTTTTCTGGTTCTTGCTCATCTCAACTAATTCTAAGGAGCTTACATCAATCTCTGAAATGGTGATCTCTAGTTGTATGGAATCAGTGTACAGGGCAAGGCAGCCCTTGGTCTCATCTAGCTTGGTTCTTTCTTTTTCCCTTCAGTGGGGTAACAACAGTAGTCTTGAGCTGTGCAGGCGGAAACAGTGGCATGTGCAAGTCACCTGTAGAAAGGCTCATTGATCATGTGTGCCTGTGGGCAAAAGGCCCTAGGTGGTTTTGTGTCTCTTAGGGTCTCATGGACTTTTTGACCACCGTCAGCACATATAAACCATGGGAGAAATAATAAATCATTAATTAACACCAACTATGGGGATTCTGTTCTTCGCTGATTCCACATGTTGGTGACCATTTCAAGAGTCAACCAATGCATCTGGTTTTAAAGATTGAGCACTTAAGTTAGCTAAGTAAGCCACTTTCTTTTTTGTTTGTTTGTTTATTTTTAGTTGACCTTTTCTTCACTGTGGAACCTGCTGTTTTCTGTATCATAACTGGCTCTACCTGCCTGTTCTAATTCAGAACTTGCTGGTTTACTGCGAATATGACTAATTCTTTTACAACCAGCTGGGCATCCCAGTATCTGCTGAGCAAACAAAATACAAAACTGTCCCTCTGTTTGTTCAGTAGCTGCAGGAGTTGTTCCTTAGTTATGAGGTTGTGCCAGTCCCAGAACTTACTGAATATTTTTGCTGCCCTTCCTTTGGTCTTGCATAAAGTTCCCACTGGTTTCTCTCTTCTTTCTTCCCCAGAGAAGAAGCGCTACCGAGAGTCGTACATCAGTGACACACTAGACATGGACCTGGACCCATGTGACAAGAACTCCCGTGGTAGCGGGAGCAGCGGGGGCAGCCAGAGGGATAACCGTCTCTCACGCCAGTCCACAGGAAGCCATGGCAGCTCTCACACATCGGGCATCGAGGCTGACTCCAGGCACCGGGTGTCAGTGGAAATGTCGGTGGATGAGCCCTTCAGCATTGACCGGGTGCATAGGAAAGAGAAATCTTGCAGCTCAACCATCAGCTATGGTAGCTCTGGCATTGACATTGGCAGCAAACAGCGGGCTGATGATGACACTCGGGATGATGGTAAAGAATTTGGAGACGTGGAGTGACTTCTAAGCCCACTTTTGTCTTCTCCTGCAGGAGAATGGAAAGTAAAGAGTCTGTACAGCAGCTTGGAGCACAAGTGTAATGCTAACCATTCTCCTGCTGCTCTCTTTCTCCTAGAGCTTGAGCTGGCAGTAGATGAGCCAGAGGAGATGCCTGTAGATGAGCCTTTAGAGGGAGACCAGTTAGAGGAGGCCACTGTGGGAGAATCTGTTGAATCTCTGCCTCTAGATACTGCTAGCTGCCAAGGTGAGATGGCGTTCTGGTACTGCTCAGTGCTGTTCTTTAAGGCTCTAGCAACAGGCATAATCTGAGGGACCTAAGAAAACCGTTACCTTCTTCCAAACAACTGCCAGTGCTACTTACTGCCTTCTTCAACAGGATTTGCAGTCAGCTCATCTAGAGGTTAAAGGGCAGCATTCCGTGTTGTACAGTGCTGCTCTTCTTTGTGCTCCTCAAAGTCTCCCTTCTCCAAATGTGCCAAGTTTATATTCAGTTAGTGACCAAAAGATAACTGAGGTAAATCTTTTTTAGTGAAGTAATTTGCTTTAAAATTTTGATTACCACAAAACAGCCAAGGGGTTCAACCACAGAAAAATGGGCTAGTTACAGGAATTCATAGGTAAAGTTTTGTGGCTTGTGATACAGGATCACACAGGAGCTGTCTGGCCTTAAGATGTACAGCCTTTATAGTAAAGCAAGATGGGTGAAAATGGGACATGTTGGTGAGAAACTGTTTTCTTGAAAGTTTTTAAATACTGATCTTTAGAGGTGAAAAGGAGCACTTGTGAGCAAAATTCCTGGAGCACTGAGGGTGCTTACTGATGCATATTTATATTTAGAGGATAGCAGGGATTGAATGTGGCCTGTGAGAACAACTTCCCTTTTCTGCAGCCCACAAAACCTCAAACTTGCATTGCTTTTCCCTTTCTCCTTCTTCTTTACAGCTATAAATCATGGATCGCTGTCTGTGGTGCAAGTCACGCTAATCAAAATGAGAGGCCAAAGCGTGGAATCCCTTCACCAGGTAAGGGAGGGGGGTGCTCAGCAGGAGAGTCTGGCATGTGCGTGGGCATTGAACCAAGGTCTAGTGTAATGGAGACAGCTGTAAATCAGGTGACCTGAATTGGTCTGGATTTGACTCATTTTTAAGTGGTGTAATCAAAACCAGCTGTTGGCCTGCTGCTCCTCTCAGGAATAGGATGAGAGCAGCATTGGGTTCAGAATACTATAGAGAGGTTTGGAACAATCAGTGAGGAAATCTTGCAAGCCAGTTATTGTCTACCTTAGGTTTCTGGATGGGAAATGGAAAATCAACCACTTCCAGATTTTCAGTGGATTACAGAGCAAAGACCATCCATGCAGTTTGGGTGTGGGTTGCAAACTTAATCATCTTCCTGCTCCTGAAGCCAGAAGTAAATCACATTGGGGCAAAACTAGATGTTCAGGCTCTAATTATTATATCATTTGTGTGATTATACTCTGTGTGTGCTGAAGTCTTTGTTGTCGAAGTTTTCTTTCCATCAAACATTTGAGAAAGGGCAATTATATATAGTAAAGTACATAGTTTAATAAGTTTTGTTTGGAAAAGTCTTATTAAAATGTCTTTTGAAGGCCTCTTTTCAAAGTATAGCTGCATCCACTGGGGTAGAAATGTTGTGGAGTTTTGGAAAACAAACAGAAAAAAAAGCCTCCACATTTTCTTTTCTCTCTGAATCCAAACTGGCATTATCTGTTGAAAGAATTGTAAATATCTGAACAAGGATTTCAATCACTTCTTAGGACTTTTTTTTTTTTTTAGTATTATTTCATGTTTCTTCCTGGACCCAGTCAAAAGTAATAAGAAATTTTCACTTATCAGCAAAATAGTCTGTAAAGTGCTATAGTAGATTTGAATAAAATCTTGGTTATTTTTTCCAAAGCTAAAGACCATGCAGTACAAATCATAGTGAACTTATGCCTATATTTGAGTTGACGGCTTAAGAGCTCAAGGCTGGAAGTAGGCATCTTGCTTAAGATAATATTTTTAAAGTTACTGCTGTTACCAACACATGCTTACTCTGTTACTTGACTGGGAGGCACCTGTTTTATAAAAATGTTTCTGATCAACACTTTTATACAATTGCAAAGACCTGGCTGCCACTTTTATGCATCAAATATTAGGTGCCTCCTTACAAAACCACCAAAACCTTTCTTACAAGGCCATGTAACTAAATGCTGCAGGGTTTCCTTAGCATTAACAGAACCATGCAACATAATCCTGTTTCTGGGAGTACAGCTGAGCCAGCACAGGGTTTCCTTCGGGGTGGTTTTTTAATGGCCTTCCTATTGTGGTGAGAGAAGTGATACTGGGAGGAAGTTTTCTGTGGTGCAAAAGAAGTGTCTTGGTTTCAAAATGATACTCCTGAAATCAGCCTTATTATCAGCATTTAGGAGGTGACTATTAAAGAGGCAGAGCAAGACAAGAAACAAGTGGTGAAGTTGGAAATGTCTCAAATGGTCAATAATTCCTTCACAGAGTCTGACTCATTGCAGCTTGTATAGCAAGATGCTGCCTCTAGGAATTCCTGCTGATTTGTTGCTCCTGTTTGGAGAATGATGTTATGTAGTGAAACTCTGTTGCAATTACTGGACAAGGTAACCCATTGGTTTGTATGGTTGCCTTTTGAACCTTCCTTTCAGGTCAATAGACTTAACTCAGTGTGTTCAAGCACTTGGGGTAGTTTTGTTTTAAATGCAGTTTGTCCATTTGAGGATGACTGCATGGATCTGCCAAGAAGTGTCAGGTCATTCAGGTGTCAGTATCTGTCAAGTGTTTCATCCATTGTATTGGACACTGAAAACACAGTGCAAACAGATCAGAATCTGGCTCAACATGATAAGGCAGCTTAATGCACTTGTAAATTTTTAATGGTTCACAGTTTCTTCATTAAGCCAACATCCTTCAGAAGGCTGGTGGGGCTCTTTTGAAAGAATGGAAGAACAATTTTGGAAAATTTGTAGCATGCATAGAATCCTTAGTCTGTTTATGAGTTCATTGTTTTTACTCGTGTATGTCTTGCTGAACTGGCAGGTCAGATCGCCCAAAATCAGGAGCTGCATGGACCAGCACAGCCAGAGTTTGGATGACATCCGCCTTTACAAGCACCAGCACCCGCCACTAAGTGCCACACTGTCTTCAGACACGTCCCACAGCTACACGTTTGGCTGCAGCCTGGAGGATAAGCTGTCTATCTATGGCTGTGTTTATTCCACAGCAGACTGCAAAACCAAGTCTGCCCTTTATGGGAAGCGGTCCATGAACTGCCTCTCCTTAGATCTTCTGGGAGAGGATCAGCTCCCAGAGGAGTTTGTGGTATAATGAGATTGGAGCTCTTCCATACCAGGAAACAGCTCATTATGGAAATATATACCTCATTAACACGCATGATGTCACTCTGGTTCTTGCAGAAGATTGTGAACGGTTTTGTTATTCAGCTTCGTATCAGGAAGTGACATCACTTCTGCAGACCTGACTACAGGGCAAATCAACGAGTGTAGCACTTAACGTTGACATTGGAAGTGTCTGTCTGAGCAGAAAATGGAAGTGGTTTGCACTATTAGCAGTGACACAACCAACATAAAAACCAAAAAACAGTGGACCAAAACTGATGCTGAGCTTAGTAAAGCAAACTCTGTCTAAATGGATTAATCAGAAAGAAATTTAAAGTCTATGTCAGTTTATCTTCCTGCCTTTCTCTTGTGGTCCATGTCTGTTAATGCTAGTGTACAGATAGTTTGGCTGTCTTGAGTCTGTGGTGCTGCAACACTGCCAACAGCTGTCAGGCCAGGATATACTCTGAGCACATTTGGAGGGCTGTGTATGGAAGTGTCTGGCCTGTTTCTGTTATAATGAGTGCAAGTTGCCTATTTGCTTCACTGGGAGCAAGACCTGCTCTGCCAGGAGTTTATTCCTCTTTTCTTTGTTGTTGTTGTTTTGTTTTGTTGTAAGCATCCAGCCAAATACAATGTGCGGCCTTTTTTTTTTAAATTTACTGCAACAAATGGAACTGTCTCTCAGCTGTCTAGTATTGCTGTGATGCAGATTGATAAATAAATGCTTATATCCTTGGGGAGATGGGGAGAGGATAAAACAAATGACTTGGCTGCTTCTGAGAGTACAGAAGACAAGTTAAGAGTGTTAATTGACTGGCTTTTGAAGACAGGAGTGTGACTGGAGAATTTGTCCGGACATGATCACTCCTTACTTTGATTCATACTTTTATGTGATTCTTGTTTTGTTGTTGTTTTTAATAAATCTGTTCCTTAGAATTTTTTCCTCTGCTTAGAAGACAAGTATGGACTGGAGAAAGTTTCTTTGTAAGGACAGACAGAGTGACTGTGTCCCACTTAGTCATGGATAGGTCATGCAAATATGTGTGTGTGGTGCTGCAGGGCTGATGATGGTGGAAGTGTAGGCTGTTTGTGTGCCAGACTAAGGGTACTTGTTTGGTGATCTTGAGAGTGGTGGAGCTGGCTGTGCTGGCTCTCACTAGGAAAATAATAATAATGACGCTTGATTCAGGCATTTGGTGTGGAAAATATCCTGCTACCTTGTTAGATACAAATAAACATATGTTTGATTTCCTCCCCTATCTTTCCCCAGTACCTCCTCCCCTCATCAATTCACAGCATTTCAGAAGCTTGTACTTGAAGGTATGTGTAACCTCTGCCCAGCTTTTGACAACCTTGCAGATGTGTTTTGGCAAATTCTAAAAGCCAAGGGATGCTATTCTGCTGGTTGAGGAAGTGTGTGTTGTGCAGAGGAGGGATAGGAAAGCCAGACCACGATGAGGAAGGTTTGAGCTGCTGCTTTGATGGCGGGCTTGCAAACTTAGTAGTTGTATGGTAGATTGCATTCCCATAAGCTGTCATCATCTTACTATTTCTATGCAAGTGTGGTGTAGAGACAGAGCACACAGGTGCCTCTGCATTTGCTGAAGTGGCATCAAGGGCTGTACTTCTTCTGAGATGAATCCAGCACTAAACCCTAGCTGTGCGCTTGAGGAATGAACGGTGGACACAGACTCACTGCAGCCATGACTTAATTGACTGTGCCCTCTTTGATCATGCTGTTCTTTCTTTTTGTAATGAACAATTAGGAACTGTGTGTTCACTGTAGCCTCTTTTCCTTTCTTCCAAACAAAGCCAAAATGCCTTTACAAAGTACTTGAGGTATGCTTACTGCATCCAAAATAAACTCTCCTAAATGGATCTAAATGGATAAAGTAAATCTGGCTGTCTGCTCTTGAGCAGTCCAGTCAAGCCTCCCGCTGTCTGTTGCTCCCTGTTACCTGGGTCCTGTTTGGCTATAAGCCATGGGGGATGGGCACAGCCAGGGTCCAGGAGGCCAGTGGCTGCACTGCAGGGAGCAGCCTTGCAGCAGTGCAAGAGCCTTGCTTTTGCAGCCGCTGCAGAGCTGGAGCCATGGGTCTTACTGCAGCAATGCCCATCTGTCTGTGGAAACAGTGGGGGGGTGGGGTCTGGAGCAACAGCTGTGCTAAACTCTCCTATGGTTACTTGTGGTTCTAGCAGTGGTCGATCACAAGACAAAAAGGTCAAAAATCAGTGCGCGTAGTTGTTTGGAAAACTGTCATAAAATGCATGTGCACCGTGTGCACGCTTGTCTCAAAGACAATCACGCCCACACCTCCTTCAACCTAACCACTGAAGTGTTTATTGTCACCAGGCAGCTTGGTATTCTCATTTTACAGTTACCAGGCTTCCAAAGGATTTGGTGAAGTGCTGTAATGCTGCTGCCACTGGTTACAAAATACACCAATGCCTGAAAACAGTGTAATTGACTTGCATGAGCATCCACTGCCTTGTATGTACCTGTATTTATTCATGGCTGGTGGGGAAGGCAAATTCTACAGGTCTGGCCATCTTCTCTCTGTGGTGTGTGCAGACTCCTCCACTACTATAAGTGATATATGCATATGAAGGGGAGACCAGACGCTTTTGTGTGTAGACTGAGAATGAATATCTTCCAAGCACTGTGAATATCTATTATGCAATTTTTTGTATTCATATCAAAAAAACCCCACACCTGTTTCTGCTAGTAGTAGATTTTGTTTGTTTGTTTGTATTTGGATTTAGAAGGTCTCTTTTTATTTTTGGGTTTGATAGTTTGGTAGACATTAGTGTGTAAACATTTATCAGTTAGAAACTAGCTGCCAATATTTGTACATATTTGTAAAATACTTGTGTTATAATCACTCTATTTTAATGGTAAAAGTTTCTCCTTTCCATGAAAGGAATTTCTTGTTTAAAATAAAAATAATTATATGTACACCTGCAATAAAGTATGGATAGAAAAAGGTGGTTGTGTAGCTTTTTTTTTTTTTTTTGCGTCCTAGGAGGGTGGTGTCCAATGATGTCTTCAATTTGAGATAGGTTGTAGAAATTAATTTGCTGCCAGACTGTAATCCATATGAGCTTTACTTGTGATGACAAACCCAGAGGCACTGGAGTCAGAACTCCTGTTCCTCCCTGCCATTCTCAGTAGTACAGTGCCAAAGGGGCCTCTGTCAGGTATTAAGAACCCAGTTGAGCAGGTTGGAGTCAGCGGGACACTAATGGGAGCTGAATCTAACTGAAGAGACAAGTTAAGCTGCTTGTGGTGGTTATTCAAGAAAACCAAGCGTGTGAACTCTCAAGGGTGTAGAGAGATCCTGTCAGCATCATCTGTGGGCTGCCTCCAAGGACAGGCACACTAGCCCACATGATTCGAAGTGCTGCTGAAAAGCAGCACTCTGCCAAAGTTACCTAACCTGCTGGTCTGGAGTCTGGCATGGATAAAGGAAAGTTTTCTTTTCTTGGGTTGTAAATCTATGAACGAGTGCCATAGTATGACTATTTGGATCTCTTCTTGAAGAAGCTTGATGGCTGGGGGGACACTTGTTTGTTGTTTGTTTTCTTACTTTCCTCTGAATATGTTATGGACCATCAAAGCTAGCATTCTGAAAAAAAAATTGCTTTTTATAGACTTTGTTATTATGTTGCCCTTATTCTTATGACATCCCTTCTTGTACTTCATATTTCTCTCCAGCACCTGCTATGTTTCCAGTAAATAGATTTTCAAGGACTAGAGACTCATCCATCTTTGGTTTGGGGATGCTGGAAGGAGGTGGTTTGATAACTCATGGAGCTTTCTGTGGAGGTAAAAATAACAGGCAAATATTAAGTCACCTGAATTTGAAGGGCTTTGTCACTTCTCTTTGTTTCTTTGCTTGGCAAGTTATAGTACTTTCTTGCCCACTAGGCGGAACGCTGCTGACCAGAATTAATGGAATGACTCTGTTTCTGAAGGTGAGGCTTCTCATGGTACCGACAAATCTTGTTTGGGTTCAGTAAAGCGGTACGGCGTGGGAGGGGGGCGGTGTGGTTACTGCGCTGGATCTGTGAGGAATGCCAGGTGTGGGAACTGCATGGGGGCACGGTGCGAAAGCTGACGGGTAAGACAACCCAGGTATTCCGGGTGAAGTGAGAGCAGTTCCTCAGTGGAGTTCTTGGCAGTGGGGCCTGAGACACTGAAGGCCGATATAGCCCCCTTGAGGTTTCCCTTGGCGGCAGCGGGGTGAAATGGGGCACGACAAGGTGCCCGCGCCGTGTGGCGGCACTGCCGGGCCCGGCCGCGGGGCGGCGCCCGAGGAGCGCGGCGGCCCCGGGGCGGCGCTGCCCGCCGGGTCTCCGGGCGGCCGAGGGGTGCCGGGGTGCGCCTGCCTTGAGCAGCCGGGGGACACCCCTCGGGCAGCCTCTGCCAACACACTGCGGGCCCAGACTGCCTGCCGCCCCCGGGACACGGGCATGGGCCGGCTGTGGGACGGGGGGCACCGGGGGAGCGGGTTTCGGGCTAGCAGAGTCCAAAGCTGGCGGTGGCCAGCAGGTGTGCCTGAGTCCCGCACAAAAAGTGTATGAAGTGGTTCCAGGTCACGGGTGCAGCATGTCGTCCAGCTCCTGCGTGCAGGGCAGTATGCCTAAACTGCACTGGGGAGAAAGCCTCTGGTAATCCTTGGCATGGGATGCTCCAGCTGTGAAATGTCGATGTAAGTGCAGAACCACCCCAGGCAACTTGGTTTATGGAAGACACGCTCATTCAATGGGATGGTAAGTCCCAGAGGCTGGGGCAGTTGTAGCCTGAGAGGTGATAGCTGAGGCAGCATGGCTCTGTGTGTGTTGTGCCAGGTCTGTGGCTGTAGCTGCCTTCAGTGTCATGCGTGGGGCCATCGCTGGAGGCAGGACAGGGGTAGACGAGCCTTGGGTACTACTCAGTGAGGCAGTTTTTCTTTCCTCATCGAGCTACCTGTGCTCAGGGTGAGCATCTTTTCTGCAGAACCTCTGCAGTGTCAGAGCAGCATCACTGGGTATTTCCCCTAGCTGCACCCGAGAAGTTAGATGTACTGAATTTTTAATTCTGTGCTGAATTTTTAATGACATCTGAGCATGTTTGCAACCACTTGCCCACTGCCCAGCTCCACTTCCACGACCTCCTTGGGGAGCTGAATATTAGTTTTGGGCTGCTGTCTTGTCACAATTGGGCCCTTTTGTCCTTGCCTTCAGCCCAGTTGCAGCTGGGGCAGCTGCCAGAGTGGCTGAGCCCACAGCTTGGCAAGGCACTGCACAGGTACTGGGTACCTCTTGCACAGCACATTCCTGGCATGGCACATTCTGTGGTAGCCGTGGCTGGTGCTGGGCTTCACCAGGAGGGAAACAGAGGAAAGGGTGAATCTGGTTTCAGCAAGGTGCCTTTGGTCAGCAGGGATGGACTGGAGGAAGTGATGGGATGATGGAGAAATGTATGTGAAGGATTTTCCTTCCCCATGGATGATATGATTTCAGTTCTCTCATGCAAACATTTTATAGAGTAAACCCACTTCAGAGTAGTTCCCATCCTTCCTTTGCTGGCATGTTCCTCAAGCTTGTTTTTTAGGGGCACACTCCAGCCCATAGCCATGCTGCATTTTCATGCTCCTGGTCAGCCAGACACTGGCTGTATCTTTCCTTCTGAACCCTGAATTTGGCTCTGCAAGGAGGAGATTGTAGTTGTTAGAGTAAGATCCATGTAGCAACCCTGCATGAAAAGTCTGTTGTTCTACCACAGACATGTAATGATCAAAAATCATATTTATCCTTTCTGGTAGACTGCAGGAGCAGCTGAGTATGGGCCATTGAAGAGCATAGCTGTGGTATTTTAAAATTCTGCTTTATTTTTATTCCTGGAAATAGAAACCTCACATTTTTATTTTAAATCTCATAAATATGTCTATACCAATCTTTATTTTTCTTTCTCCAGTCACTTATGTTCTCAATATGTAATGAGATAATTGAATATGGCATATGCTAGAAGCCTTCAATCTCAAGCCACCATGTGGAAAATACCACTTTAGAAAAAGTAGAATATTCAGTGTAGGAAAAATTACTTTGCATTAGCCACAGAAAGTACTCAACCCCTTTTCTGCAACCAGCTAACAAATACCCTGAGCTGGTTGAAATCATGGCAACAGAGAATAATGATTCCCACATCCACATTCCCTAATAGAGAATGAAGCCTTGACTGTGGCTCGCTCTCTAATCAAAGGCTTTCAGGCTGGAAGACTTGCTCTTCTGCTGGATACAGGCTCTGAGGTTACCCTCCCTTCTGCACCCTCTCAGACACAAGTGCATTCAAAAGAGCTCTGGCTATTGGGATGCAGATTCCTGAGCAAAATCATGTGCTGTACAAAGCTGGTACTTCTCTCTGCTCCCTGTGTAACTTCAGGGGATGAGAGCGAGGAGGCTTTTTGCCCTGTTCTGGGGTACCCACCACAGGAAATAAGGTCTGTGCTACAGTATATTTTTGTTCCTGGCAGTGGTATTGAAATCTTTCTTGCCTGGCTTGTAAGCTGTGCTCCTATATTTTGGGTTAAATGACTCACTGTGTGTGGAGGAAGCATGGGAAGCTAGCCTGGGTTTTATCTATATTGTCCCCTGAAGTGGATCCTTAGCTTTCTGTGTTTGCAGGACCAGCAAAACCAGCAGTGTCTTGCTCCTCTTCTCTGGCACACACAGTTCACTGCTGCTGCAATCAGGGAGGGTTTTCAGCCCATATGGTCTTTCTGTGGCTAATGCAAACTTTCTGCCTGTTGTCTTTTTAATCAGACATGAACAGAGGACTCCCATAATTCCTATGTTAAAGTGCTAATGGATTATGCAATGCATTTTTGGGAGCTCCTGTTCTTGGGATGGTCAGGAAGGACATGCCAGTCACCAGAATGGGTATTAAGGCAGGTGAAGCACCTGGGGGCAGGGTGATAATGTTAGTATTGCCAAGTTTGACTGCATTTCTTGCAGGTGTTGCAGTGTTCTAGGTTTTCTTTGTAAAGCCCAGCTTCCCGAGTCATGCTTTAGCATAAGGCTCACACCTTGTAATAAGAAAAACAGATAAAGCTTCTTAGCATACCTGATGAAGGGAAAATTTGGCAGTAGGAGTGCTCAAAGGGCCCAGGCCAGAAGAGCAATAGAGAGCCCCAAGTACAGGTGAGTTTTTAAACATCTAGATCCAAACTCATGCTTATGCAATGCCTTGAGGCTGAGAGTGTGGACACCACCTCTGGAGAAGCTGTGCCCCAGCCAGTCCCAGCCCAGCCTGGCTGCCAGCACTGGCATTCAGCTGGCCACGTCTTGCAAGAGGATGAGTGGCAGGGTTTGCTGTGGGAGCAACTTGGTATGGTTTTGCTTAACATGTGCTCTGCAAATAACAGAGAGGGTACAAACCGTTGCTTTCCAATCTGCTTCAACACAAACCAAATTGAGATCAAACATTTTGAGAATTGCTGCTGAAAAATATAGGGCAAGCATGTTGCCACAGCCACAATGCTGTTTTTATCCTGTTTTCAGAATGAACGCAGGCGGGTAGGAGCCCTTGCAGGCTGCTTTTCTCAAGGACACTGCCCAGGCAGTAGCTGAGCTTTGAGACAACTGAGAATCTTTAAGATTAACAACCTTTAAAGACTCCTCAAAGCTGCTACTCCAGACTGCTACTGCCTGAATCTGGGTCTGCTTCATCAAGGCAGTACTGAGGCCCAGAGTTGCCTCTCTAACTCCAGGCAAGTGCCTGCAAAGCTCCAAGTACAATTTCTTACCATTTGAGGATGAATGGATAAAATGGAGAGCCCCACAAGTCAGTGACAGCAGGGACAGCTGCTTCAGTGGTGACATCTTAGGTGTGGAGGAGCATGAGGTGGTTTATGGTGTCCCTAAGCTGGTCTCCTCTGCCTCAGGGCAGGGCCCTTAAAGGGTGGATCAGGTGTTTACCTTGCTGCAGCTGGTAGCAGGTCCATGTGGGGAGTGCTACAGAGGAGGGCAATCAAAGTATAGGAAATCAGTTCTCTTCTGAGGAGAAGGTCTCAACAGATGCTCTGGAAGAAGTTACCAGAAGGCTTGGATGTCATCCTGTGGATGAGC